CTGCATGCTACAAATCAACAAGATAAAGAATAGATTTACCCTTTCTTCTAGTTCATTGCATTCTAATTTCAGTCTAGCAATCACATCTCGAGAAAGGTATGCCTTCAAAGCAAGGCAAAAAGTTCAAGGATGTTAAAATTTAATTTCAAACAGGACACAGAAAAGAGGAAAAATGAGCAAACAAGTAAAACTGTACATGATAGATGATTTAGGGACAAAGCATCCAAACCTTGCTGAAATCAAGGAAAATTAGAGTTATGTGAAAGCTCCCTTTGTCATTATGCACTTCGACAAGAAAGCATCATTGTATCTGCAGTTGTGCTGTTGAAAGGAGAAATACAAGAAGGAAGCTTAGTTTATAAATGTAAGCTGAACTTGCAGATTAATGTACTGCGTAAAGCTCATATACCTATTCACTATTGTCTACATTAAAAATCTATTCTTACTTATTACAATTTTAAATTAAGTAACAGATCTACTGAAACAAAGTGTGGATTACTTTGATGTTGGGACAAGATGCATTACTTCAGTCACTACAGTAATAGTGAATTTTGCTACGTTATATAATGAAAATTCAATAGAAGTAAACAACTGAATATGAAAATACATTTATCAAAAGAATTGTTGGGACACCATGACTATCAGTCAGACTGAAGATAATCCTCCACAATAAATGCTTTCACACTTACTTTTCAATAACTTTCAAACTGACATATAGAATTACATGGAGGTTATAGGACAGAAAAAGGTTGTTAGGCCCCAACAGTCTGTGTCAATGTCAATCATCCAAATGAGCACAAATTTTTAGCTTATATATTTACACCAATCTCATACGCTTTATTGTATTTTTGTTTACCACAGTACACAGGAAACACAAGTGGTTCCAAAGCCAAGCCTGTGGGAACATGTCAACTACTCAAAAACAGCCCTCAACTTCCTAACTACTTTTTAAAATCCAATTTGTTCCATTTAAATCTGACACTTTATTGAAGGATTTCTAAAACTCTGCATGTTTTATAAGGTCTTAAAATGCTTTTGTAGTTTCCATGTCAATCATTAATTCTGGTAGTGCATCCCACTATCCTACAATTTTCTGTGCAATAAATAGTTCTAGTGTTGTGCCTTAAATCTTTGCCTTAATGCTGCATCTATGTTACTTTGTTCTAGACTCTTCCATCACTGGCAAGAGACACTTCCTATCTATTTTTCCAAATCATTTAGTATTTCAGGAGGATCCTAGGTGATCCAGGCTGTACTCTCTGTTTGACTCAACTTCCTTCTAATACCATGAAGCACAAAATGATGCATAATGCTTCAAGTAAAGTTTTGAAATACACCATAGCATCTCATTTTTTATACTCTACGCCTATCACAATGTGATATTTTTAACATTTGTGGACTGAATTCCACCTGGGAGTTTTCAGTCATTACACATCTTATCAAATTCTCTGTACACCTCCTATTGATCTGCAAAATTATTTTGTTGCAGCTTTTAATATTTTCAACAAATCTGGACACCAATCTCTCTCATCCAATATTCAAATCATTGATACACACTAAATACTGGTGGTCCCCAAGCAAAATCATGTCAGGCCCTCTCAATTACTCGAACTGCCCTCAGTTCCTAATTATTTTGTAAATAGTTTTTGATCAAATTTTCTACCCTCCTAATTCCGTGGTAGAGGATTTCTGAAACTGTGTACACTTTATGAACTGCATTTCCCCTATCCACTATGCCTTCTCAGGCATGTTGCTTCCTAAAAATAACATAACATACTTCTAATTACTTTTCTCATTGTTATGTATCTAGGCATTTTCAAAATTTTCATCATGTGAAAGTGATTGGTCTGTAATCATCTAGGGTAGCTGTGGCTTTCTCTTTGAAAACATGTAGCACCTTAACCAAATGACAGTACTCCAGCACCTAGTCACTTTCATAACCTGATGAAATATAGCTTGTAGAAATTACTCCATTTCCCTCAGCAGCTTTAAATATACTCCATGAAGTCTTACTACTTTGTTGTTCGAGCCTAACACCTTTAGTACTTCCCATCTACTTATAGCTCATTTTCTCTCAATTTTAATTTATTCAGTACTTATCTACTCTACAGCTGGTCGCTTTAGCTCAGTTGGCTGGATGGCTGGTTTGTGACGCAGAGTGACGCCAACCGCATGGGTTAAATTCCTACATCAACTGAGACTACTATGAAGGATTCTCCTTCTCAGGCTCTCCCGTCACCTGAGGAGTGACCCTCAGGTTAAACCGCCAGTCATCTTTCTCTAATGAGACACCAGCCATATGGTCAAGTAAGACTATGGCAACTTTACTCGAAAGTATTCTTTATGCAAACTAGAGGAAAACCAAAATTTCACTTAAGCAAATAGGATTGTGAAATTTGTGGGTCATAATGGTTCATAAAACATGCAAAAACGTACATCCTTGATATCCAAGCTAAAATGTGCTAACACTAAGTTCCTGGAAGTAGGCGAAGCCAAATAATGGCAACTTGTTACATCATAAAACAGACTTCTAATATATTCAGCAAACTCTGTCATGCAGCTCAAGCATGAAGAGAAAGGGGAGATTGACGAAAGAATGAAAAGGGATAAGACAGGAGAAACAAAACAGAGCCCACGGATGCTCTTCAATGATATTTGTTTTAAGTTTCCCTACAAGAAAGATACATGCTAACTATTACAAACTTTATTCTCAAGTTAATGAAGATCAATATGCACAACTCTACAACAGACTTTGCATTTTCTGTCTCTCCTTCATTCAAGGAGGAATGAGACTTGGTGAGATGTTGGAATCTTATATTTTCTATTCACTTTATAGACCCTATTTAAGATCCAATCTAACAAATGAAATGCATTTCTCTTTTAATGCAGACTGCCAGATGAGTTAAACCATGCTCAATCTGTATTTAGCTCGCAGAAGTTTATTGCTTGGCAAAACCCACAGAATAACAAAAGATGACTCTTGATGCTTTTAATGCATGAGGTGACAACGTCTGAATCCAGGGATTTTATCCAATGTAAGAACTAATAAGGAAATGTGTCCCTGTGCACTCTATACTTGTTCCATACCCGTGTTCTTTCCCCTGCTTTGTTACTGATCTGCCCTCAACCAATGCCTTTTGTGCACCGCATTCTAGAACACAGGCCTCTGTTGCAACTTAGATAACGCTCTTTTGCGTACGAACACAGCTTTGTATGTGCAAATTAGATTGTAATTAAAGTAGAATGACAACTACGCCCAGATAATGTATTATTTCAACAAATGAGAATCATGAAAATTGTAGCATAAATCAATTTGTCCCATTATGCCTGAACAAACGCTTTCTGTTCATGTACAGCTGTTTACTTGAAGTCCCAGTTTCCGGACCGCTCCATGTTTCCTGCTATATTCTTCGTCTTCAAAGTTCTATTTAATTCTCTTTTAAACTATTTGTAATCTATACATTACTTGTTTATGATAAAGCAATCCTTTCATTAATAAACCAATAGGAAGTAAACTTTTAATTTTCACCACGGTTCTTCCAGTGATAATGCTAATCTACAAAATTGATTCATCAATTTTTGAAATCAACATTCAACTCTCCAAACTTTTCATAAATTTTGAAAACCTCTATTAATTCCATATTTAATTTCCCAATTTTTAAAAAAAGTGTTCATTTTTGAATCCTTTTGCCATAATTTGGTGACAGTTCTATGGCCAATCACCTTGCTTTAAAAGAATGCACAGAACTGTATGCAGCACATAAAATATGACCTAACCAATACCTCTATAGATTTAATATTTTCCTTTGAAATTTAATTGCTCAATCTTAAAATCCAAAATATCATTTTTCCTTGTAGCTTTTTCAGTCTGTAAATGTGGAAAAGTAAAGATTCATTTAGACAAAGAGCATTGCTACTCTTCATCACAATCTTCCACTGTATTAAGGATCTTCCCATTTTATGTTCCTTTACTAATATAATTTCTGTTGCCCAAAGTTAATTCTTCTATTTTTGTGCATTGAATGACACAAATTAGCAAAATGTAATTCTCTGTTCTGCCAACATCTATAGTTTTATCCATCACCTATCTTCCTACTCCAAATCTCTATCCAATATTCCATTAAAAAATAAACCTGTCAGTGATTCAGCCATTTAATTGGACATACTATTCCACACTCAAATAACTTTGAATGAATTTTCTCTCATCCTTTTTCCTCACTGAGTGAAATCAGAAAATAAACTACAGCTTTCCATTTTAAGATCACTCTGTTGAACCAACATTATATCATTGCTACAGTTTTAATAACCCATATATTTTGTGGAATGTGACTTGCTGATCCAAGATCTCAGCTCAAGCATCTGTCCGATACTCAAGACATGCTTCACCTCAACACTTTGCAAATCCAGGATTCTCAGAACTAGCATGTCACACCAGTTATTAGCCTAGATCCTAATTCTGCCAATCCATGCATTCAACATTTCTGCAACTCTGCACTCAACTAATCAGAAAAAATTCTCAACCACCTGCTTGTTTTTGCTGTTTCAGCACTGGACCCATGCTAAATCCAAACTAATTCCTTCATAATCTTCCTGCAAAAACTACCAACATTTCTTTTCAGCATACCCTTCAGAGCAAAAAAAGCAAAATAGTATGAAACTTGTCAATAACCTCTACTTTCAAGCAAGTTTGGAGCACCATTCATTGCCTGTGTTATATTCAGATAGCAGTATGAGAAATTTTGCATACTACTTTATTTTGCTACTCCGAAATGTTTTTTTCTAATTTAAATTTTGGGTGACACCAGCTAGGCCATACATATATTGTCCATCCCTAAATACCCTGAAACATTTTGGTGGGACATCTTCTTGAACTGTTGCAGGTCTTGAGAACTAAGCGTTTACTTAGGTAGTGTTAAAATGGGTATCAAATGCCGTCCATTTAAGAAACTAACTGTGGAGCAAAGTCAAATTTGACAATTAATTGAACGATGTAAGTGTACCTGCATGTCCAGTTCATGGCATCTTTGTGAAATTTCCTCCTTGGCAGCTAATGCTTCATTTAGCTCTTCAGTAGTTTTCTTCAACTAATAAAGAATACAAAAGAAAAGTAGCCTTGTTTAAATACCATGATGCAGAGATTGATAGCTCGTGTACAGACGATAAATTGATGAGATTTCTTACATCTAAAATTATTAGAAATCTTCGCCTTACAACTTTGCCATGCACAAGATTCCATCTTTTTGGCCTTAGGCTTGTTATAGAATAGGAAAGTTTCTGGCATTGAGGAAACTACTCATCTTACTGTGTCCATAGCAGTTTAAGTAGAGTTACCCAATTTAATCCCAACTTCCAGCTCTTGTACATATCTAAATGAGTTTTTTTAAAAAGTACATTGAGGAAGCCAGTTCAATATCCTGACCACTCTCTGGGTGAAAAGAAAATACACAGCTGAGGCAACCCCCCACCCCACCACCAAATCCTTCCACCTTACATCTACGTCTCCTAATTATTCACATCTCTGATAATGGAAACAGAGTCAGTAGGAAGTTCCTATCTATTTTACATACATCAATTAAATCCCCCTTTAGCCTGCTCTTCATTCAATTTTTTTTTAAAAAGCACCTATCATATTCCTGCGACATCCTTATAAATACCTCTAAGTAGTCACTCTAATATGAATACATTCTTCCGCCAATACAGTGACCAGATGTGTACTTATAATGGGAGTTTACTGCAAAACAGGCTCAACAGGAGTTGAATTGACTACTTATTTGGCTAGGCTCCTACCTGACGATCAAGATCCAGATAAGCATCATTTCCAACTGATGCTGGAGTTTCTTTACTCATAAGCTGCAAACACAGAGCAAATTAATCCGTATGAAAAAGTTGATCAAATACAAGTGAAAAACAAAACTCCAAATAGCAGGCATAAATATGCTATTAACTTAGAAAATGAACATAATACAAGAAAACACAAATAAAAAAGTCACAAGTCACAATGAAATTTAAAGAAGTTAAAATTAGAGATCAAATGTTTCTCTGTTCCATAACATTACTGAGTAAAATTTGAACAAGGCAGTTTGAAAAACTGAATTGGTGTAAAATATATCAATATAGTTTGCTTTTTTATTTAAAAAAAGTGGCTGAAGGAATACATTGACAATGCACTCATTACAAACTGTTGTGATTTTCGCAACATGCAAAAATCACATCATAGCTTGAAGTAATTTTTAAGTGTTACTGCTCTTAGACTCTTAATTCCAGATTTTGATTGAATTCTAATTCCATCAGGATTTGAACCCAGGTTGCCAGAACATTACTTGGGTCTCTGGATTAACGGTCTAGTGATAATACTACTGGGTTGTCGCTTCCCCTACTGCTCGGCAAGTAGCAATACAGCATCTGTATAGTTGGAAAAGAACTATGGAGTATAGCAAAATGAAGTACTCAAATGGTAACTTAGAAGTAGGGTATATGCATATACAACCTACCTCTTGAATGGCTGCCATGACAACATGCTGAACAGACTCCTCCATCATCATAATAGTTTGTATTTGTTCTGAAAAATAAATTAAAGGTGAGATTTTGCTACCTATCTGGAGCACAAATATCTAATGCACAATTAAATTATAATAAGGAAGTTTTTTCCAATATACATAAACTCAAGGAATTGGGAGTATTATAGAAGGGGTTACATCTGCAGCTCTGGATCTGCATAGGCTTTTTGAAGAAACAAACAAACAAACAAACAAACAAACAATCTATCCATGCAGAAAAGAGAAGCGTGCTTCTTGAAGACTTTTAAGATTTTAAATGAGGAATTTTGTTGTCGATACAGTAACTCTCAATGATACATAATACTTTTATGACAAGAAATAACATTAGCACATAATCTAAACCACTATTTTTCAGCTTTACTTGTGTAGACAACTTTCTGAAAACACTGACAACTCTTATAAGGTAAACCGAATTCTGTTTTACTCTACAATGCAGAATTTAAAGACATCAAGGATCTCCTCAAGACTTCACTGTCTCCTGATTAAAAACCTATGTGCCGGGTTGAACCTCAAAAGTTGTACTTAGCCTGTCAAAGGTACTCTAATTCATATAAAGCATTTGACAGAGTGCGAGTAGATATAGGACATTTTCAATTTGGTCAGCTGTAACTCGAACACAGAACAGTACAGGCCCTTCGGCCCACAATGTTGTGCCAACCTATAATCCTACTAAGATCAAACTACCCTGCATTTTACTATCCTCCATGTGCCTATCCAAGAGTCGCTTAAAAGTCTCTAAAGTGTCTGAGTCCACTACCACTGCCAGCAGCACATTCCACACGCCCACCACTCTCTATGTAAAGAACCTACCTCTGACATCTCCCCTATATCTTTCTCCAATCACCTTAAAATTATGCCCCCTCGTAATAGTCATTTCCACCCTGGGAAAAAGTCTCTGCCTATCCACTGTATCTATGCCTCTCATCATCTTGTACACCTCTATCTAGTCACCTCTCATCTTTCTTCGCTCCCTCAACCTTTCCTCATTAGACCAGCCCTCCAGTTCAGGCAGCATCCTGGCTCTGCACCCTCTCTAAAGCTTCCACATCTTTCCCAGTAATGAGGCGACCAGAACTGAACACAACATTCCAAGTGTGGTCTAACCAGTGTTTTATAGAGCTGCAGTATAGCTTCGCTGTTCTTAAACTCAATTCCCCTGTCAATGAAAGCCAACATACCATACGCCTTCTTTACAACCCTATCAACTTGGGTGACAACTTTGAGGGATCTATGGACGTGGACCCCAAGATCACTCTGTTCCTCCACACTGCCAAGAATCCTGCCATTAACCCTGTATTCTGCA